ATTTCGCAGATTCCAATATATCATTTGCTGTGAAAGAAGATTTGAAACGAAACAAATAAACAACTTTCGATTTAAAAGATATTACATCGAATATGACTGCTTAATAAGAGAACATAGACACCAACAAGAAAATCTTCCATCGGATTGTGAATTTTTGGTTCCTCGAAAGATTTTTAAGCAACAGCTGATTAGTTGTAAATTCCCTGAACAACCTGAACTGGTTACCAGAACATCAATATTTTAAAAATTAATTTCCATTTCCTTTGATGGGTATGTCATCACTGGTAAGTAAATCGCTATACATACCACGCAGATACACCAAAATTATCTTCAAAAATATTTTTGCGGGTTTTCGTATTTCACATCACTTGAGCGATTGAAGTCGGTGTAAACATATAGAAGATTTAAAGTAGGTAAATATCTGTCAAATACTGAGAAAACTGGCATAAAATATGGAATTTAACACGCTGTCTTTTCTTGTTATCGTTTTATACTAGAGATGTTAAAGTAAATAACATTTTGTATGGAAAGATGAATCTCCACAATGAATTATCAAAAGGTGAAAAAATAATTCTTATCGTCAACACTTTTTAAATGACTGCTTTACCAATATGCACACTAGTATTAAATATAGTTTTCTGTGATTTCTATTCCAGTGAACAGTACAGAATGAATGATTTATCGACAAATACCAGGTACATACTCATATAAGGAAAGATAAACTGACCGTATAGGTGATCAAAGAGCGACGGCGTTGTACAGCGGCCCAGCCATACGTTCAAAATGTCTTGGTATGAGATTGTTTTGTAGGTTGTTCAAACCGACACACATGTGAATGGCACTTTTTAATATAAATTAAAAAAAAGTAGATCAAAACATTTAATAAAACTGCATCATACAGCTGTTTCGTCCCTCTGGGACTCGTCAGGGATGATAGGGGCCTTACCTTTGAAGTTTAGAAGACGACTGACAAAAAATCTAAAGTGACAAAAAACTAAAAATCTGGTAGGTGCACTAACGTCATAGTTCAAGAAATTTCATAGATCGTATGTATATGATAATTTTAGAACAACGTCAAGTACATGAGTACTATCTGAATCATAAAATTTTGAAATCAAATAAATTAATTTAATTAAGGTAATCATACAACTCTTCATCTAAATCTTAGATTTATTTTGGTCAGTTTTTAACTTTCCCAAAGTTTCCCTTGAGATTCAACGCAGAATGCAGCCAGTCTCATTGACGATTCCTAGATCTAGTTTTATACTTGATATGACTACAGGTATACCAAACTTGATTCTAAATTTGTATTGAAAAGTATTATTCATTAGTGTGTCTGTTGAACAGTACTATAAACCTATTTCTTTAGAGGCATTTAAATATGAAATATATATATCAATGTTAATTTTAGTATGTTGTGTACTTACGTGAAAGAATAAGGATGATATCAGAGTGATGTAGAAGAGAGGAGGAGTGTTGTCGAGTACCCAGCCCACCACACCACTGTCGCTGTACCAGATGGTGTTTTATATATACTTGTTTTTATCTACTATTATAAAACCATAATACCCACATTGTAGTTAAGTAAACATTGGACGGTATCATTTGTGAAATTCCTGACTAAATTACTTGAAGTGTTTTCTACGTAAACACCGTGCCATCCCCCGTATTTTCCACTGAGTACAACTTAGTACTGAGATTGACATTAAGATCAGACGTACCGTTTATGAAGAGTAGTAACTATAAGTGTTTGTAACACAAATCCGGGTCTATAATTACAAGTGATGCTGGGCCCTGATGTATGGGTGTAGGATAACATTAATAGGGTGTTACACAAAAGTGCTAACACTGTTTGACATGATATTTGTATCGACAAAATTGCATTTTTTTTTATCCTATATATTGGTATTAACTTGATTTCTATATATAGCCCGGTGGGAAATAATAAACCAGAAGACCGTGGGTGGGAAGTTAAAACTGTTTACAACTTTCACTTTCAAAAAATTCTATGGTGGTTTCCTGCGAAATCTGATATCAAGAGAGATTGGATTTCTAAATTAGTGACTGGAATTCGGTCTGACATCGAACAATTACAAACAAAACATACATAACTCTGTATTGAATCTTCAGAAGAAGAAATAAGTTGGAAGCGAGTTCGCAGGGAATAAGTCTTAGACTAAGAATAATTCAGTAGAGGCATTGTTTATGTGTATTATCTGTTGTTAAGCCGGTGATGTTCCAGTAGTTTAGTTTCAACATATTTTATTGCCAAAAAAACAAGACAAATGAATTGGGCACAAGTTATATCAACATTATTGACGCCCTCTCCAATCAATATACATATAAATTTAAAGGCAATGACCAGTATCCCTTCATATTATACCGAGATAATCAATATAAATACGATATAAATACATATATTACGACCTTGCTAGGTATTGGGATCTACTTGGTATATAGAATCATTAACAAACATTATGTACAGTATCACACAGCTGGTATTGTGTGCCGTACCTGTATCGGCGACAGACGGAAGCAATGCTAGAAATGGTAGATTTCTTCTCGTTACAAGAGACTTGTAAAGCGAGTAAACTGGTACTTTTAAAATATCTCGCCTCAGTTGGGCCGATTTCAGTAAGCTTCTTGTAAGCCCCGTGAGTATGATAATATGAATCAACACATTGCTAATGGCCTTTGTCGTGGCTCCAACTAAATAGACCTTCATCTCCGAGGCAGAACACACACTAGAGACGATCTTTCCACGACCATTTAAAATCCTATGAACTTCTAAAATCCCCGCACTGGTCCGCAACAATGTTAAGCCATTTTCTAAGTGAATTGATGATATTGTGTAATTCCGTGCTGAAATGAATTAATGAAAAACTTGCAGAATATTCCATATAAGGCTAAGTATCAAATAACCGTTTTGAGGACTATGATAACTCCAAATATAATCTCCCTTACTACCTCTTCTGCTTCAAAGAGTACGCTTTTATTCTCTCAGTTAACTCGAAGGTCCAAGTGAGCTATATAGATACCGCGGCGTCCATCGTCCACTGTCAACTTCTACTATAAATCGCTATAAATCATGAACGCGCGAGAAGATATTAACCAAATTTGGTCTGAAGCATTATTGGGGTAAAGGAAATTATGTTGTATAGACCATGGGTATAATAGTCTTTTCCTCCTGTATGAACAATTAGATTTGCCCAAATTTAGTCTGAAGTATTACTGGCCTTCTAGGACGAAAGAAGCGAGCCAAGAAGGGGTAACAGTAGAAATTATTAAAAATCCTTCTGCTTCAGTAGGAATACCCGGATGTTGTCCGAATTTGGTCTGAAGAATGTTTGGATGAAGGGGGAATCAATAGTGTATAAACGGTGGACCTCGGTGCTTTATCCGTGTTATCAAATGAGCTAACAATTTTGACCATCTCGTAAGGGTTTTCTACACAGCTGTATATGTTTGCTGTATTTTACATCTTTGTTCAATGGGATTTCAATCATGTCTTCCACATTCATAACTCGGCAGACGAAAGCGTGGAGATTCTCATTAAGATGAATTAAAACTCCGTTTGTCAATCCTCTTACCATCTTTTCAGGGTGTACAGATCTAATTTGACATTCTCTTCCCTTTGCTTCATATTTAATTGCCAATAATCTTGGCATCGTATACGAGTAGATGTACTGTTGTGTAGTCAGGTGTTCCGCGCGGTCATTAATAAACACCAGAAGTAAGAATGGTTCTAAGACTCCATTTGGAGATTCCGAATTCAAAAGTCCTTCTAACTAGATTGTTTTCATGTAAAGGATAACCTGTTATTTCTGTCAAACGACAAGCATTTGATCATAATTGAAATAATTCTCTTGAAAACTTCACATTAGTTACTTGGTGGGTGTCTTTAAAGAAGTAGGAGATGCTCACTCTTCCGGAACACCTGGTCTAATTCTTCATTTTTCATTTTTTTCTCTCCATAATCTGCTCCAGTTTCATCTATTTTGAATTTTAATATATTCTGGAAGGTTGTGTTAATAAATCAGGTGAGTATAGTTGAATGCCCTTTACATGTATCATCCTTTGGTTCTCCTTGTTTTTGACTACGGTTGAAGTTTTATCTCAGCGATACACAATGTTATATATTGAAGCTCTTTTGCCATATAAAAGATACGATAACCCTGCTAATAATTGGGAAATTTTAAAGGCACAAGTAATAGTGTTTCATACTTTATTGAAATATTACCAAGTAAAATGAAACAATGCTGATTAAATCTTTCATTTTATGAAGGTAACTATAATAACACTGTTTATTTATACAGTCCTTTCAGTAAAGTAAGATTTACCGGAAAAGCATACCTCATAGAAAAAAAAACAAAAAAAAAAAACAAACAAACAAATAGAAATTAAAAATAAACTAAAAACAAATATGGCGTCATTTTGCTTATTTTCTCCACCTTAAAGAGGTTATCAAGCATTTTTTTAGTAACTCAAGCCATGTATCTGATTATATTCTGATTTCTAATAAAACATTTATTTTCAAAGCCTTTGTCCTTTCTCACTATATCATTTCAGTATTTTTTTTCCATTTCGTGTTTTCTTTCTAAATTTATTAAAACAACAATCATGTATCGAGGATACAACTGTTGGGTATAAAAAAAAGTGCTCCAATTTCTATATCTGGAGTATTCACTTAGTGGTTAGGGTGTCCGTCAGGCAATCAATTTATTATTATCATGATTCTTGTTTTATTAAAGATCGGCAAGTGCCTCGCTTCAGCCTTATTTATTTGATGCTTTAAATGTGTGTTTGCATAGAGTACATGTATCTCGGGAGTTATTCTACGACAGCAAACAATCCGGAAACAATACGGAAAAAATGGGTAAGCATGTACGCTATTGCTTTGTAATCGAACGCACCCTAACCTGGGTTTACAACAAGAGAGTCGTAATCAACGCCACCTCTTTGCTGTTGCAACTTGCCAAGTGCGGAAACTTTCAAAGTTCAATAACTGCTGATCATGGGGAGAGTCAAAGTACACGTCGAGTATTGGTGAGCAAAAATCTACGTGTTTGAAGACAATTTCTCGAATATTTATTTAACGCCAAAAACTACTTGATCTTCTAGGCTTTCTTTATAATAAAACTATGTTTTCATGTAAAATTCTCTGTATTCCTCGCCTATATGGCGAAACTCCTTACGGTTAAGGCAACACTGGTGCCTCTACTAACGTGCTAGATCTGTCCACCCGTAACCGGAAGTCACGGTTGATTAGCCAGGTATAAAGTATTTAAAAATTCATGTTCGGTAGCAGATTCACAGGTATCAGACGTTCTGTTTGTCAAGTCTAGCTATTATTTCTCAACACTCCTGTTATAATTATAAGAATTCTACTAAAATAGCTGAATTTCACATATATTAAGGAACGTCCGATTTATGTGATAGATTCAAAACATCACTACCATATGTCAACGATATCGCATCACCTGTCACATGATAAGATATACAAACGTTCAAAATATGTTCAGGCATTTATATATGACTCTAACGTCCTATTGAAAAATATAAAAGATGTTTCAAACAGATAAAAGTGAATTGAATTTAAAGTATGATCTAACCAGATAGTGGGAGAATGGGCAGTCCCGCAGTAATAGCCCCTCACAGGGACGTATATATACGTCCCTGCCCCTCACCAGTCCATCATTTGGTATTCAAATTTCCGCTCTTTTTCAAAACACAAATATTGATGTTAGCAAAGATTCAGTCATTTGGAACGATAGAAATTCCACCCAGACTCATGAATTCACTTGAAGTTGACTTTTCACTTCATGAAATGGTTAAATCAGACACAGACAGTTACACCTTTCGTTCATCCTTCTTGAAATTGCAGTTAAAATATGAAACATTTCTACATGTATATACTGATGGTTCAAAAGATAATGATAAGGTTGCTATGGCCATGGTTACACAAGATGAAACCTATGGATGCCAGTTACCGAACAACGCCTTAATATTTTCGGCAGAAGCGTGATCTACCTACCTCGCCCTTGAATATATTCAAAGAAACAAAGTAATGAGAGCTGTTATCTGTTCAGACCTCCTTTATGCACTACAAAGTCTTAGCAATAGAAATATCGAAAATATTTTCATTTGTAATACATTAATACTATATCATGAACTTGCCTTTAACGTTCGTATTGCTTTTTGCTGGGTTCCTGGGCACATAGGAATACCAGGCTATGAAAAAGCAGATCGTGTCACAAAGGAAGCTTTATTGCTACCACCTGTTGTTTTTAAACTTCATTTTACAAATTTTAAAAGCTCAGTGGCAGGAGGAATGGAATACATATACCAATAACAAACTGCACTCTGTTAAACCTGTCATTGGTGAATGGTCTCCTACTGTAGAGACAACCACCGAGACAAAGTGGTCCTTGCCCGTCTTTGGATGGGTCATACATACCTTACACATTCATATATGTTAAAAGGTGAAGATAATCCTTGGTGCATAGGATGTGATGAGCCATTCACCGTTTTACATTTTTTATTGGATTGCATTGGCCTTCTGTCTACGAGAGAAAGTTTTTATTGTAACATTACAAGTCTAAAGACCCTTTTTGAAACTGTTGAGATATGTAAAATTCTACATTACCTGAAAGGTCTATATAATAGACTATGACGTACCATTTTAATCTTTTGTGTTAACATACCCATTTAAGATTTTTAACATTTGTCTTTTACCTTTTGGTTTGTTTAATGTTATTTCCTTTTGGATCGCTGTGTGTTTTACCGTTTGATGGACCTAATGAACTTTTATGTGTTGATGGGTCGTTAAGAATGTAATAATAATAATAATAATAATAGAACAAGCCCCTGCAGGCAAGTCACATGTTATCAGTGGGCCTTTATGTATATAACAATGTTTGTGCTTGTTTCAGTGGATCATGAGGGTACGGTGGCCGGTACCAGGAGCTTCGCAAGGAAATCCTTGCTGAGGTCCCTGAAGCCGAGGTCACTGGGGCAGTTGGTCGTTCTTGTAAGTCATTCTCGTTGTTTTCTTCTGTCACCTTGTATCGTTGATTTGTAACCTATTTGTATGTTTTCTTATAGTGAATTCATGTTTGTTTGACTCATCAGATAACTGACTCTGATCTCAAGGTTTTCCCTGACACCCTTGGTTGTTAACGTTTGTAGACTCTTAATTCACACCTTATAGGAGTAAAACTGTTTCAATTTTGTCAAATTAACATGTCAGTATGCAGGATTTTGAGAGTCCTGGAAAACCCTGATTCTTAGAATAGGATGAAGTAATTTTGGCCATAATGGACTCAGCAAAAATTTGTACATATAAACAATAATTTGAAATTGTTGCATCTTATTTTTCAGCGTCCTTTGAAGTAACAATAAACGACCAACTTGTCTTCTCCAAGCTGAAGACATCTGGCTTTCCTGATGCAAATCATGTAAGGAAATGATTCATGAAAACAGATAAATAAGCTCATTGTTCATGTGACCTCTCTGAATACTTTAGAATTCCTGAACAATATTTAGCATATAAAGTATGTGTTCTTTAATTTGACTTCTATGGCTTTCAGTTGACCTTCTACCTTTTTACAGTTTCCATTGTCATTTGAAATTTGTTTTTGCCAGAAATTTGACAAATACAACATATTATTGCATTGAAGCCACACAGATGTTTATCAATTAGACACATCATTTCAAACACTTGGCGAGTCAGACACTTGGTTACAATTGGTCACAAATTTTCTGTCTTTCTCTTGCTTGTTCTTTTCTCACTGACGTTAGTGTTCTGGTGATATCTGGAGCATACATCTGTACACACAGTCTAATGAAAGCCTACCCTTCAGTCAAAAAACTGTAATAAAAATCTGTATATTCAGTGTATTTAATAATAAGTTAAGGATGGACTTGTGTTCTTATTTGTTTGATCAGTTTCTGTGATAAACAATGATATGAGGTAACAATGATATTGATTTTGACAGGTGATCACACAAGTCCAGGCCGCTCACAAAGGAGAAAGCATGACAGAGATTACAGATTCTCAGTCTCCAGGCTGTACCATTTTATAGACCTGGAGGGGACACATACTTACTGGGTTAATCCATTCCATCCTTGGCAGGCCTTGAAGACTTTCACATCACTATTTACATGTTGCAGTTTCCTGACTCAATTCTTTATTTGCAATGCTTATTTTTTTAGACATTTAGTCAATTTTTATTATCATACTTTTTGAACAAAAGCAGCTAATTATACCGTCATTTTACAATTAAAATTCAATTTATCGATTTGATCATTAAAATTGAAACTTTAATGTGTATTTAAAGGAACACAATTTTGATTCTTTATGTATTGATAGTTTTGTATTTGGTCATTATCTACAAATAAATAAAGTAGTTTTACCTCATTTGAACAAACATGATTAAGGGATGTGGACAGGGTTTGCCATGTATGTAAAAATTGTTGTATTTTCTTAAATTTCCTCAGTGTTTGAGAACTGGTGAATCACTCATGATATTAAAACATCACAGTCCTCTGGAACGGTGTTTTAGTGGATACTCAGATAATAAACAGCTCTCATTCATGGACTGAAATTGAAGACATGTGTACCTCAGTTTTTAATATATTGGTAATGATATGTTTAGTTTGTGTATACATAATGTATATAGATATATTTATTTAAGATTTGTTCTCATATATCTAGAAATAGCTTACAATTTGATTATTCTTAGTTTAAAAAGATCAGATAAAATGGAGTATATAAATGTTATATAAAAACAGTAAACTGATTCAGCTCTTTATACAGAAGTTTTTCTCATTTTTTATCATAATTTGCTACATAATAACCATTGTATTAAAATAACACATTATAGATGAGTTTTCTTGCAATTTTAGGAAGAAATTTCAATGTTATTTGTATAATTAACAGCAAATTCTGAAACATAAAAAGACTTGTTCTGGCTATAATTTTTTTTTAAATTTGTTTTTTTTTCTTCAAAATTTGAAATTCCTAAGAAATAATTAGGGATAGTGGTAATGGTTTTAGTAATGAATTCATTGTATATGAAACAAAAAAATAATTAAGAAAATAACATGATTCAAAAAAAGTAATTTAGAAGTTAATTACTAGCAGCATTTATAGAGAAATTATGAAAAATAAGAATGAAACTAGAAATGTTTAGTAGAGAGTGTCATCAAAATACTACATGAACAACGTATTACCTATCATCTATCACAAAATAAAAACGGAGATCCGAGCCAGCTTATTTATTGTCCACTTTCGAGGGGAGTTATATCTGCTGTAGGACAACGGGATCTATGTTAAGAACTTAGCACTTCTTTAATCTGTAATAAATACCAACATGCTTAAAACGTACACATACACTCTGTAAATAGAGGTTATTCCTGGATAAATGTGATAGTAGTAAGTGCTCGGTAGCTGATAAGGTTGGAACATCTGGGTAGGTTTTTCAACATCTACTTTATTTAATGCTTGAAATCCAACGGAATAGGAATGCTGCCTATTTTCATCTAGTCAAAAATTTTACTTTTTTTTTCACAGGTGATAAATTACTGCTACACAAATGTATAATAAACATGAATTTTGCAGTATATATCTCAATCTTGTTTCATTATTTCATGCACAGCCAGGATCATTTTGATGCAGAGTCTCCTTGCAGTAATTGGTGACTACCTTGATGAACAACATCAGGGAGACCTGCCATATGCTATCAAAAATAACAGGGGTGCATTACTTATCACAGTAACCACGACAACACATGATTTCTGCTTTATTAAAAAAAAACCTGCATTGAGAAGGAAAGGAACAAAATATCATCAAGTGAGGTTTTAGCACTGGAAGTTCTATAAAATTAGCCACTACATGAAAAATTACTAGAAAAAAACCTGGTGCTGTGCGATGATTTACAAAAAAAAGTTTTATTCTTGCTGGGAAATATTAAGTTGGTGTCATTACCATCAATCATTTTAGATATTTTCAACCTCTAGAAGGGTAATGAGTATTCGTTTTGTTGCCTTTACACATATTTGCTGACTAGGTGATAAAATTATATCATGGTATTGTAATAGAGGTCATTATTTATTTCAAGGCTCCACTGGGATTTGAACCAGGGACTTCTGACTTATTCATCAGACACTCAACTGTTGAAGCTAACAAGAACCTCTCTCTGGCTGAGTAGTATATTGTAGCTACGGTTTTATATGGCTTACACAAATATGAAATAGAAAATGACTGAAAACGACATGTAAGATATATCTATGCTGTTTGTAACATGTAATAATCGTTCCATGTTCAATCTTGACAAAATTATACCTTGTCACAAAGCTTATCAAGCTCTAACTCATTTGTGAGAAATAGCAGTGTGTCTGATAAAACACTGTAAATTATCGTTAGTTGAAACAATGACTTGTTTTTTTTTTATAACATTGTAATTAATTACTGTAGTGAAAACTCATGGGGATTTATCTCCCGTGGTTGGAACTCTAGCCTGCTGTGATGTGTGTGACATGGGTTTTAAAGCCTATCAAATTTCATATAAATTAGTTGAAATCTGAGGGAGGAGATATTAGGACAAGGTTAATACTGGAAATTAAGGGGAATAACTCTTCAAAAAGTAATAAAATTGCAATGCCTTTAACTAAACCATTATAACGATCATAAAAATTTAAACTGATTACAAAGTGAAGGAGAAGAAGATTTTGTAAGAAAAAAATGCTGAAAAAACAAAGGGCTTTAACTCATTCAAGAATTGCTTAATAGAACTCAATACACTGAGTAAGAAAACACAATGTTATTTGCTTATAGAGCATAAATCTTTGAAAAGAATCACTTGAAATCTGAGACTTCCAGACAATTAACATTATAAAACAACATTATGCAGTAAGTCTTCCTAATTTAATCACACTGTTTAATACAATACAACTTCATGCCATGGTGATTAAGTCAACTAAGTTGAAAGGAAGTAGATCTTTGGTCAAGTAAAAGTTCATGATGGACTGACAATGCCTTACATTTATGTATCCCTCACAGATTTTGACAGGCTTGTACATGTATAGTTAGATACCATGGTGAAGTTCACCCCCTGCCCGACCCTAGACCTACATTTTTGTTATTTGTGTTTCTCTGACTGAATCATGGCAATGAGAAAACAATTGGTGAAAAAAAGTTAATTAGTAAGAAAATTGTGTAATGCTTCACATGCCCATGGCCAGGGCCATCCCCGCCCTAAATTTCCCCACCCGTTTTTGTTTTGTTTTATTATGTACTGAGGAACAAAATTATGTAAATTGATGAAAAATTTAGTGAAGAAACAGCCATTTAAAAAAACAAAATATAAACTGGCTTCACTTTACCATAAGGGGGTTCGTTTCACCATAATGATGAAATGAACTGCGGTTCACTTTACCATAGAGGGGTTCTTTTCACCATAATGATGAAATGAACCGCAGTTCACTAACCATAGAGGGGTTCGTTTCACCATAATGATGAAATGAACCGCGGTTCACTTAACCGTAGAGGGGTTTGTTTCACCATAATGATGAAATGAACCGCGGTTCACTTTGCCATAGAGGGGTTCTTTTCACCATAATGATGAAATGAACCGCGGTTCACTTTACCATAGGGGGGTTCGTTTCACCATAATGATGAAATGAATTTCACCATAATGATGAAATGAACTGCGGTTAACCGTAGAGGGGTTTGTTTCACCATAATGAGGGGTTAACCGTAGAGGGGTTTCACCATAATGATGAAATGAACCGTTTCACCATAATGATGAAATGAACTGCGGTTCACTTTACCATAGAGGGGTTTGTTTCACCATAATGATGAAATGAACCGCGGTTCACTAACCATAGGGGGGTTCGTTTCACCATAATGATGAAATGAACTGCGGTTCACTTTACCATAAGGGGGTTCGTTTCACCATAATGATGAAATGAACTGCAGTTCACTTTACCATAGGGGGGTTCGTTTCACCATAATGATGAAATGAACCGCGGTTCACTAAACCGTGGGATTCACTTTATCATACTACACCGGTATACATTATTTCTGACATCCTTGTTTTTATAACTACATTATGTATTTCAAAACATCCTTCAATACCTACCTACCAGGATGTCCCTACTTACACTTCCAATGTCTATAAGTGATCTTTGATGATGTAGAAAACTCGATATCAGAATCAATATTTGTTAAAGGACTACACTTTTAGGTCATCTGACCCGAAGGGTCACAAGGGTCAACTTTGTATAAAACCTGGAAGAAACATCCTCTGAATAACCAGAACACCCAGGGTGATGATATTTGGCCTGTAGCATGCTGGGATGAAGGTTTACGAAATGAATACCTTAACCCACTTTCAAGGTGTTGGCTGAGTGCCTTATATCCAGGTGAAATAAGTTCAAAATTTGAAATCTTGTATTTTATGTCAGATGACTGTTCAGGCCCATGGGCCTCTTGTTTATGTAAATTATAGAAAATAGGCAAAACGATGTAGTGAAATATAAAATTCAAGTTGAATCATAATGATGTGACAGTATGAAATTATTTAACAAGAGGCCCAAGGGGCCTGCATTGCTCAACTGGCTTGTTTAGCTATTCAGGCATTTAATCAAGAAATTCAAACATGACAAACAATTTTGATATAGTTATCTATTGGGTTCCATCCTTGTGGTCAATAGAGGCCAGATTAAGTATTCATAAAAACTGCTTAAGACCAAACATGGACAATATCATTGTATACAAGAAGGATTTAAGAACTAACAGTCCCCCAATGGGGCCATTTCCTCCTGCCTTGGGGGCCGGGATGTACCGTTTATACAGAATTTAGTTCCCTTCATTCAAGATTAGTTCAGACCAAATTTGGACAATAACCATTTATTCTCATAGGAGGTGTGAGATTTTAAAGAACATGCAAAATTTCCACTATTTGGCTCCACCATCGGGCTCCACCATCAGGCACCAGTAGGCTGAAACCCATTGTGTATACAAAGTTGATTCCCCATAATCCAACAATGCTTCAGACCAAATTTGGGCAAAATCCAATAATTCCTACAGGAGGAGTAGGATTTCAAATAATTTACTCTATTTCTCCTACTGGGCCCGGCCTCTACTATCCCAGATGACCGAGACCCACAGTTTTTAAATTGATTCCCCTTCACCCAAAAATACTTCAGACCAAATTTGGGCAAAATCCAATCATTCCTACAGGAGGAGTAGGATTTCAAATAATTTACTCTATTTCTCCTACTGGGCCTGGCCTCTACTATCCCAGATGACCGAGACCCACAGTTTTTAAATTGATTCCCCTTCACCCAAAAATACTTCAGACCAAATTTGGGCAAAATCCAATCATTCCTACAGAAGTAGGAACTTACAGAATTTCCTCTTTTACCCCTATTGGGCCCCACTCTTCAGCCTCCACAGTACTTAGACCTTTCATTTAAACAATTGATTCCCTTCACCTAACAATGCTTCAGATCAAATTTTGGCAAAATCCAATAATTCCTACAGGAGGAGTAGGATTTCAAAGAATCTGCTCTATATCCCTATTTGGCCCCACCTCTCAGACCCTAGGTGGCAGAGACCTACCATTTAAATAAAATGGATTCCCCTTCATTCAACAATGCTTCAGACTGAATTTGGGCAAATCCAATAAACTTTCCCCAAGGATGCTTCTGCCCCAACTTTGTCAAAATCCTTTCAGTTGTGTATGACTAGTAGTGATTTTTACGAAGGTTTCACAGTAACCTCCATTCTGCATTGATCTAAAGAGGAAAACCAATGAAATAGACCTCTAATTGAAGATCATGCTGCAGGCTTATTACAGGATAGAATTTGTTTGAAAATCCAAAAGATGTCTGTTTAGCAGGCACTTGATTCTGTGGAAATCTAACAAAATCAACAAACAAGTATAGATTTTTGAACACTTTTTTATTTGTAGATATATAAAACCCACAAAGTCAGCAAAAATAAATAACCCACATACAATTTTAAGTTCAACGTGAATATAGACTTATAGCCTGATATACCATAACAACTATGAATAATGTATCTAAGGCATGGGCTATCAGAGGCTGTGACTGTTGCCCAATCCCTTTTGCTTTAAGATCCCTGCAAATAAAATCATTCTGAAATGAAATGAACTATCGACATGAAAATGAATTTATTAGATAAGAAAGAGCAATAATTCAGTAGATAAGGGGATTCAGACACTGAATTTGGTGCGTCCTATATCCTCTTTGTATGATCAATGTATCCACCAAGTTTCATGATCCTGGTTGCACAGAATTAAGGTAAAGTTATGCTATGGTCATAAAATTCTAACAAAGGGCAATAACTGTGTAAAAGCAGGGTTGTGGGCCCTGACATTGCTTCATATGATCAATGTATTAAAAGTTTCATTAACCCAGTTTTAATGCCTGCAAAGTTATGCTGCACACAAGAAATTTCAACAAAGAGTCAAGACCTTAGGTACACTGCATATTGTCCTAGAATGATCTATATATACACCAAATTTCATTAACCTAGTTTAAGTGTAAAAAATTGAAAGTTGTTTCCTCTACATGAAATTTTAACAAAGGGCAATAACTCTGTAAAAAAGTGGTTGTTGGCCCTGAATTTTGTACAATGCCCACCTTCTTAATACAATCAATGTTAAAAACAAATTCAAATATCTTAATTATAATACAAGCAAAGACACAGATACCACATACAATTTTAAGTTCACAATACAGGTAGGCTTATAGCCTGATGTACCATAAGAACTATATAGATACAGCTGCAGACACAAAATTTTAACAAAGGGCAATAACTCTGTAATGGAGAGATCGAGGGCCCTTCCTTTGGTACACTGGATATGGCCATCATATGACCAACATATGCACAATGTTTCATGATTCTTGCTTAACTGTGTGCAGGACACGAAAAGATGGATGGACAGAAAAAGTGACTTTATGTTCCCTGAAATTTCCGGGGAGCATAGATGATTACCATAGATAGACAACCCAAGTGAATAACTAGCTCTGGATAAAGTAGATAATGAAACCCTCTGGCACATAAAAATCAACCACACAAGGTAGACACCATTTTCACAATTAAGTTTCAATATTTATGAGTATGATGGAATGCATACATAACAAAAACACTGGAGATAATATTGCTGCAGGCTTTGATGGAATGTTGTCTGAGAAGTGTTTACCAATCAAACAAGCTGTCATATTTCTTATAATTTTTTGTCCCATTAACACTACTGGTTTTAGGATGCTCTGGGCTTTATGAATTAGTGATTCAAAGTAAAAAAATATTAGTTATAAACATTGCTCTTCTGTCAGGTGAATAACAGGTAATTGTAAGTAATACATATGTTAAACAAGTGAAAGTTTCAATTTTTTAAGATAGATAAAGCCGTGTCAACAACTAAGCTAATTTCACAAGGCCAACTTAATATTTGCCATAGGATTGAACCGCTCAGTTAGAATAAAATACTGGATTCACCAGATTTGTTTATTTCTTGACTTCTGTAATACTAATATAAAAATATATAAACTTCATTTATTTTACAACAAATGTGAAACAGGCTTTAAGGTAATATCAATAACTCTTGTTGGCCTGGATGAAAAGCAGACATGGAGTTGTATTGAGGAAGGAAACTGGACTACCCTGGGAAAACCCACCTGTTTGAGCAGGTGATCCCATACTTTTTCAGGTTCATGTCAGGGAATAAAACCCTGAGTGAGAGATGTGTCACCACTGCATCACCGACCATCCTAATCTTGTTCAGTATTTAAGAAATTCTACATAAACTTTTGGATTTAATTTGGTCTTAATAATATTCAAACATTGCAACAAACATCATATACATACATACATACAAATATGATAACGATACGATAAAATTGATTGTCTCTTTTTCATTAAGGACCCTTTAAAACATCCTGTCAACCTTGATTTTGAATGGATATGGCCAGATATTGGATGACCTGAGGTTGACAACACTTGTGTAGTATAAGTTGATCTTATCTAAAAATTTTACTGTTTTTTTGTATGACTGATGTAGTCTAAAAGACGTGTTAGATTGCATACCTCATTGATCTTGTCTGTTTTTTCAGAGTGCTGCCAGTGGCAGAATGAAAAGTGGCAATATAAATATATTATATATATGTATGTGTCTCTGCCATCATAAGCTTTCACTGCTGGTTCTAATATCACAGAATCCTTTCATCACAACCCATTTCATTGTGACATATGTATTATGATTGTGAAATTCCTCATATAACTATGATCATTTGTGGCCAGACGTAATGACTCTAACAAACCACCTGGCTAAAAAATCTATGACCACATGGATGGTAGCAACAGTTTCTAGGACGTCAATACTTACAATTTTCAGTATATCCTATATAAGGATGAACAATTATATATGTCAACCTTACACAGTATACCTACACAGCTTTACAAACCCGGTCAATATTGATTTCTGAGCTGAGTAGTATTACTAATTTTGAATGTTTGGTTTCCGTGGATATGAAGCCTTGACAATGTTCAGTTGTCGAACACGACTATATCCAGTGTCCATTATAGCGTATGGGGAAGCTCTTGTCTTAAACCAAGTATCAAATCCCACCTGTCTACAAGGTACAAATTTCTTAATGTTGTCCAGGTTCAAGTTTAAAACAAAATGAAATGAAATCTCTCCTTAGACAAATTTCTGTATAAAAACAATAATCCCACTAAAAATTCATCTACATAACAATATTCAGACTAGTCATTTTTTTAATCAATCTTATCGCAATAATCAACGCTTTCATTTCATCAATTTTCACAGGTTAAGGATATTTTATCAAGCTACTTTCCCATGTATATATTCCCATGTGTGTTTTATTGTGAACAGATGGTCACAAGCTTGATATATCATATAACTGCTCATCAATGATCAGTTTCAGGAAATCTACAGGATCTGTATCAGCCGCAACATTACCATTCAGCACCTCCATATCAATCACATCAAATCCTTTAAAGTTGTCATTTTTGGAGCTGTTGTTGGTGACAAAGAAATCCGAAACATCATCATTATTTATCCAGTCAATTTTCTCCATTTTTCACTACAGCAATAAAATTACAATTAAATCCAAACAATCAACTTATAAAAACAAAAAAGCTTCTACCAACAGTTTTAATCAATAATGTAAACACAGCAACGCCCTGGTTCCTGTTAAAAGCACTATAGATTTATGCATTGCCATATTGCAGGACAATTCTGTTGGGACAAATTCCTCTCATATGGTTTACCTACAGGTCACAGTCATGGAGACATCATGTAAGTACATTATCAGTAGCTACATAAGTCTGTACTATTTTTGATTTTGTAATCTGCAAAAACATCCTCATAAATATTGGGAGTATCATTAACATTAAGATGTATAGTGCTTGTGACAATGGAGGAGTGCTACCAAAGGGAGGTAACCACAGACCCCGTCTTGTTGCGTCCCTTATATGGTGTGACAACCAGGCGATGATGAAAAGTGGACACAGTACACCAAAGTAACTGTCCTTGTACACATCACTCAGTGTCCACAGGATCACAGCAATCGGGATAATGATAGTCGTTGCATGAAAGTGTGGCCTGTTGGGTAAGGAGATCAGATCCTACAAAATCAGGTTTAGTAAAAATCAGTCAATGTTAACAGAAGTTAACTTTCATATTTTAAAAATCACGAAATGTTTTTTTAAAATTGTACACTCAGAAAATTTTACAGTTCCATGGGGAATGGAGAGTGTAACGTAACAGCTTATCCGTCTGTATTTTCCTTCTAGCATACATAATTATCTCCCCTTCATTTGAAACCTAGGATTCAGTTTCTTAATTTAAAGAACAATTTTGGAGAGCAAAAAATTCCAGATTCAAATGACAGTGGCCAGTCTACTGCTAAAGTTAGAAAATTCTTAAAGCGCAAACTTAGATTTTGTACTCTAGTGATATACATTATACCCAGACACACTAGATATAAGGCCATCTCACTCCATAAATAGAGATTGCTGTTCTGTAAAATTATAAACCAGTGCTGTTTAATTGTTAAAAATTCAACCCCTTGACTTTGATTGAGAACTTCATAAGTGATCAGCTGTTCAAAATCATTGATGTATGATAGCTTGATGGAATCTGATGTCATTAAGTAACACGTGTTATCATGGTTACCATCTAAGTTCGTAATTAATGGATTTTTCCCTTTAGCTTTAATGATAAACTGGCCACTGTCTTTTGAATCTGGAATTATACGACTGTAATCATATAACTTTAACAGGGTTTAAATTAAAATTGGACAAAAAATCTAAGGTGTACAGTTCTTTGTATACAGAGGCACAAGAAAGTCAGCAACAGTAGCATCCATCATCTGTCAACTGTAAATCATTACTAGTCATGGATACCTGAGTAGATTTTAACCATAGACAAAGGATGGACAATGGATGCCACTATAGCTCACTTGGCCCCTCAGGCGAGGTACAAAATAATGGTAGATAACTAGTGTTGGACTGATATCAGATATAATTAATTATCTGATCATTTAAACTCATCTGTTGTGATGATAAATTTCACATAGATTTTTCAGTGTAATCAATAATTGGCTGGCTGTGTGTTCAATATTCATGGAAAGGGAACACGTTCTTCCTTAAGGTAATATTTCTTTCTTTTTGTAACCTGAAGCAAAGATACCTGGAATTTACATTTTAATGAATATCACTTGCAAATGGCATCTCTGTTATGCACAATATGAATTTTGTTTTTTGTTAAAGGACATGAAAATACTGAGGCACCGATGCTTGATAATGAAAAACCACAATCAATCATCACTTGGCCCCTAGTGATGGGCTGATCACTTGGCCCCTAGTGATGGGCTGATCACTTGGCCCCTAGTGATGGGCTGATCACTTGGCCCCTAGTGATGGGCTGATCACTTGGCCCCTAGTGATGGGCTGATCACTTGGCCCCTAGTGATGGGCTGATCACTTGGCCCCTAGTGATGGGCTGATCACTTGGCCCCTAGTGATGGGCTGATCACTTGGCCCCTAGTGATGGGCTGATGATCAGATATAATGGATTATTGAATCATTTAAGCTCACCTGATTACATAATTAATTAACTACACTGAAAAGTCTATCTGATTTTAACTGATAATTAATTATGGATTTGAACCAATTTCCCATCACTAATGATAGAACGTTATTATAGAATGATAAAACGTACCTGGAGATTAAGTGTTCCAGCTGCTAACACATGGTCGACATCAACCACCATAGACAGACCCATACAAACAATACACTGGATAAGGGCCCCAATGAAGTGTCCAGAGGTCAGAGGTCGAAGTTCAATCACAATAGCCCAGGAAAAGAATCCTACCAGTCCATGAGTTACACTATCCAGGAAGATTCGAAGTGGCACATTTTCAGATTCTCTCTCCAACAGGATATCTCCTCCACAAACAGCACTATACAGTAGTAACTCATACAGGATTGTGTGTACATTAATGACAACTGAAAAAGAAGTCAAACTTGGCATTTTGTGATACTTGTGGATCTGCAAATCCAGAAGGCACTTAGAGTTGACATCCAGATATCTACCCTGTTCTACAGAGTATATGATAAGTCTAGTAGTCTTAAATTCCCTCATATAGCCAGACAGCTCCTCGAATCAAACTCCCAGCTACTCTATTCCTGGTATGTAAAAAAAAAAAAAAAAAAATCAATCAAAATGACACCACTTATATCTATATGGACAATGCCTGCCTTTTTCATTTTAAAATATACAGGAATTGTGTATGTATATATATATAGTTGTTAACATGTTGGGTTAATTTTCCTGGGACATCCAAGTTTGGGTTAGCACAAGGGAATTCTCCACTGTCTATTGATATATATCTATGTATACATAATTACATTGACCACATCATTATTTTCTACAATTTAGATTCTGTGACATACTTGTTTGAAATTTTATTTTGCACTATCTTTGGCACAATAATGGGAGCCGAGAGCTTAAATATCTTGCACTATCAACTGACTTGTCCTACACTATCAACTGACTTGTCCTACACTATCAACAGACTTGTCCTACACTATCAACAGACTTGTCCTACACTATCAACAGATTTGTCCTACACTATCAACAGATTTGTCCTACACTATCAACAGACTTGTCCTACACTATCAACAGACTTGTCCTACACTATCAACAGACTTGTCCTACAACATCAACAGATTTGTCCTACACTATCAACAGACTTGTCCTACACTATCAACAGACTTGTCCTACACTATCAACAGACTTGTCCTACACTATCAACAGACTTGTCCTACACTATCAACAGATTTGTCCTACACTATCAACAGATTTGTCCTACACTATCAACAGATTTGTCCTACACTATCAACAGACTTGTCCTACACTATCAACAGACTTGTCCTACACTATCAACAGATTTGTCCTACACTATCAACAGACTTGTCCTACACTATCAACAGACTTGTCCTACACTATCAACTTGTCCTACACTATCAACAGATTTGTCCTACACTACCAACAGACTTGTCCTACACTATCAACAGATTTGTCCTACACTATCAACAGATTTGTCCTACACTATCAACAGACTTGTCCTACACTATCAACAGATTTGTCCTACACTATAAACTGATTTGTTCTACTCTACCGACACACTTGTCCTACACCATCGACAGACTTGTCCTACACTATCGACAGACTTGTCCTCCAATATCAACACACTTGTCCTACACCATCGACAGACTTGTCCTACACTATCGACAGACTTGTCCTACAACATCAACAGACTTGTCCTACAATATCAACAGACTTGTCCTACACCATCGACAGACATGTCCTACACTATCGACAGACTTGTTCTACAACATCAACAGACTTGTCCTACAATATCAACAGACTTGTCCTACACTACACTATCGACAGACTTGTCCTACAATATCAACAGACTTGTCCTACACCATCGACAGACTTGTCCTACACTATCGACAGATTTGTTCTACAACATCAACAGACTTGTCCTATAACATCAACAGATTTGTCCTACAACATCAACAGACTTTTCTTACACTACACTATCGACAGACTTGTCCTACAATATCAACAGACTTGTCCTACACTACACTATCGACAGACTTGTCCTACAATATCAACAGACTTGTCCTACACTACACTATCGACAGACTTGTCTTACACTACACTATCGACAGACTTGTCCTACAATATCGACAGACTTGTCCTACACTACACTATCGACAGACTTGTCCTACAATATCAACAGACTTGTCCTACACTACAATATCAACAGACTTGTCCTACAATATCAACAGACTTGTCCTACACTACACTATCCACAGACTTGTCTTACAACATCAACAGACTTGTCCTACACTAAACTATCAACAGACTTGTCCTACAATATCTACAGACTTGTCTTACACTATCGACAGACTTGTCCTACACTAAACTATCGACAGACTTGTCCTACAATATCAACAGACTTGTCCTACACTACCATATCGACAGACTTGTCCTACAATATTGACAGACTTGTCTTACACTACCATATCAACAGACTTGTCCTACAATATCTACAGACTTGTCTTACAATATCAACAGACTTGTCCTACACTACCATATCGACAGACTTGTCCTACAATATCAACAGACTTGTCCTACACTACCATATTGACAGACTTGTCCTACAATGTCGACAGACATGTCCTACACTACCATATCGACAGACTTGTCCTACAGTATCGACAGACTTGTCCTACACTACCATATCGACAGACTTGTCCTACAATATCGACAGACTTGTCCTACACTACCATATCGACAGACTTGTCCTACACTACCATATCGACAGACTTGTCCTACAACATCAACAGACTTGTCCTACAACATCAACAGATTTGTCCTACAACATCAACAGACTTGTCCTACACTACACTATCAACAGACTTGTTCTACACTATCAACTGATTTGTCCTATACTATCAACAGACTTGTCCTACACTACACTATCGACAGATTTGTCCTACACTATCAACAGACTTGTCCTACAACATCAACAGATTTGCCCTACACTATCAACAGATTTGTCCTACAACATCAACAGATTTGTCCCACAACATCAACAGATTTGCCCTTCAACATCAACAGACTTGTTATACACTATCGACAGACTTTTCTTACAACATCAACAGACTTGTCAAACAACATCAACAGACTTGTCTTACAACATCAACAGACTTGTCCTACACTACACTATCGACAGACTTGTCTTACACTATCGACAGACTTGTCCTATAACATCAACAGACTTGTCCTTCATTATCATATTTATTCTACATTAACAAAACATTAGCACTGCACTTTCAAAATGCGCTACCAATAGGACTTGTCCTGCCTGCACCAGCTTTTGCTATCAATACCTGCGAAGATTTCTAACACCATTGCACTATAAATGGACTTGTTACCCAAGTCTTCCAGTCGATCAGACTAAATGACATTCGTTTCTTCATTGTCTAACCACAACACACTCAGCTGATGATTATATGTCAATGACAATAATGTTCGCACCTGGTATGATTAGCAGAAATATAACAGAAATGTCCAGGAACAATCATCGTGTAGCTGGTTATGTGCGTAACCCGGACAGTTCACAACATTTAACGCTGACACGTTGTTTCTATTTTAAGATGACACATGACATCGATAAGCACGCTACTGACAACGATTAAAATGCGAAGAGGGAGTGACTAAAAATAAGATAAAATCCTACAATCTCCCTCTTACCGCAAATGAAACTGACAAAATCCCAAATCATGAATCATTTTTTGACTCCTGAATGTGCCAACATTTGGCTTTTTGAATTGTGATGTAATTAATAGAATATTTAACTAATTTCTTGGGTAATAATAACTATATTTCACTCGTGTCATTAAATGTTTTGTATCTTTCATTCGTGTTACGCATTCGTGAAAGATACTAACTAGGTTAATATTTGACGAACATGTGAAAAATATTTTTGATTACTGAGAACTATCAAAACGTGTTGATAGAATCGTGATATAAAGAGGATAGTAATGGTTTTCCGTTTAATATCATATAATTATTTCCCGAGTATAACAACATTTTTGAGCCTATCTATTTTTACAAGAGTTCAGATTAATATTCTATCATAAGAGTGAGACTTGTTTTCTTCAGATGGAAACAAATTAAATTGTCGTTTTGGTACACTTTTAAAGAAGAAACATACAAAAAGATCAGATTTAGAAGTAAAACAAGCCAGTGTTTAAAATGTTTGAGATATATCAGCTCGTTCCTTGACGTCAGAGAGTTGGATGTTACGTTTGACAACAAGAAGACGTCCATTTAAATACTGACAGCCCAAGTTAGGCGATATTCCACTGTTTATGATGTTTTCTGGTATGAAATGCTTACAAAATGTTTTAAGCACCAATTTAAAGAAAACCCGATATGCACATATAAAAGTTTTTAAATTTCATTTTTTAAATTTGTGTCGGAGCAGAAAAATCGATGACAAAATTTCTTTCGTCGTTAGAATATCAGTTTTTTTTATATCAAGTCGATAAATTTCTTTATTTCAATGGCAAAACATGGAATATATATATGTAGCAAGGACATATTTTGGTGTATACATTTATATTACTCTCTGTTCTGTACCATTCTTCTGTTTCCCGTTTATAATTCCTACTAGTGCACGCGTCCGTAACGTGGACGTACGTCGTCCGTAGTTGTCCTCGTCTTACTTGTAATGCTTTGTCCGAGTGATCAATTTCCTTGTCTTACGATATAGGGGTTCTGAGGGGTTCTGAGGGTTTCTGTGGGTGTCTTTACAGGCGGTTACGCAGGGGTTTAGCTCGTTGTATCCTTTGTTTGGTCAGTTGTCGGATTACCATCTTGTCGTCAGGACATGTAAATAAGACAGAGTACGAATGTCTATGGCTTTTATTTTGCTTATAATTAAATATATTTATGAATACAAACATGATGAACGCCTACAGTACCTAGATCAAGTTTTTGTAGCAATTTGACATATTTAGATCAATTTGTAGATGTTGGCATTTATTTATCTAATATATCAACCAGATACTAGACGATCTCGTACATTTTCTACGTAATGGGTTTCTCCTCTTGTGGAGGAAATCCATCGATTCGTCCGTCCACCCATCCATCCGTCCGTCCGTCCGTCCATCCATCCGTCTATTGAAAGTGCACGCTTCGCCTTTACATGTACATGGCTATGAGCCACACGTAGGTAGGTATACGATATTATGTATGTTTGTCATGTTTTTCAAAGCATTTATTTCGATAGTGATATTTCGTTTCTAGGCAACTCGGCTTTTTATTGTGGTTGTTACATATGTCCTTACTCATTTTTGACGTCGATTTTTATATTTCACGCATATGACGTGTATCTAGAGAATATTTAATAGTTTTGTTTAATATCTATTCACGGGTATGACAGAATATCTAGGATATTAAATGGTTGCCTGTTTGATATTTTCTATGTACAGTTGTATATATTTCACGGGTTTGACTGAGGCATATTATTACATGCCACTGGATAAAAGGTTCCCGAGACAAGACTGATGAAGTTTTCAAACAAATCATCGCGAACAAAAACAATAATAAAACAGAATTACACGAATATTGTTTTGCTTGGTTGAAGAGATGTCAGGTTTTGAACGTTGTTTCCGCTGATTTTAGTTAAGATCTGGAATGTCTATTATATGGGATATAAAAAGCAGTAAGTACTAGGTGAGTGATCCAGGCCCATTGGGCCTCTTATCATGTAACGTACTTACAGGAGTATAAGTCAGCAGTGTAACAAAGGGACCCGTGGTAACAATTTCTACACTCAACCGACACAAATACACCCTAATAAACATGTTAAACACGTACATACCTATATTGTACTAACCGCACCTGTACGAATTTACGTTTATAGAGAAATCGTTATAATAAGTTCTAATACATATAGACATATAACACATCAAGATTACTTACCTAAATTTTGAAAAAAAGTCGTTCTCACCAAAATCGTAGAATAAAAAGAATATAAAAATAAAAGCACGAGAGGTCAATTTACATTAATATACAACATTAACCTTGAGTTCTACCTAACAGGGAAAACATCAGTAACCACGTGCCATGTAGTAACGCCAGCCCAGTGGAGTGTGATGTCGGATTTTCATTGACTTAACACAGCGTCACTGTAGTTTTTCTTGCTGGCGACACTTGATCCGGGTCACCTTGTAGAAGGACAAACGAGAAGAGAATCTTTCATAAAAAAATTAAAAGCATCAGAGCCGAAAATTAATTCAAATACAGTAACTATCTTTTGAGTCAAAATCAAACTGGGGAGGTGTTTCACAATAAGGTATTGATATTTATATATTAATTTATCAAACTTATTGTAGGATTGGTAATGGGAAGTAAGACCCTGTAGCTAAGTCATGGTTCTGTAGTAGATCAATAGGCTAATTATCACTGGTGATAGGCGAGGAGTGCAGTAGCTCAGAGTTTGTAGAGCATGCGGTGTAAATTATACTATCGGACGGAACGGGCGTAGCTTCCTTGATAATTAAACTTATGCAATTACCCATTCTGACAGCGACCACTAGGTGTTAAATTAATTCATTCAACAGTTTAAACGTCCATTATTACAGCCTTTTGTCCTTTCAACATTTCAGGAGTCGTTTACGAATAAATTTATGAACGAACAAAAGAAATTGGAAATCAATATGATATATTCCTAGCTTAGTATATTGATATCATCGTGTTTTTCTCACATCAGTGCGTTTGCTGAAAGTAACTGACGATAAAACTACGACAATCATTGTGTTTAAAGACCTAAATCACTATGGTCACGGTTGATATCTCACCATAACTGCATAAACAATGTAGAAAATCTGACATTTTCTCACATCAAGGCGTTTGCTGATAACAACCTGACAAGACCACAACCTTCGGCAGTGTTCCTCAGTGTGGTAGCACGGTAAAGTCAGTTTCAGGTCTGTACTATCACAAGGAAGCTTACACTATTAAGCTTCCAACCACTCACACTTGGCTCTCTTACATAATGAATCCGTTTTAGATGAGCATAGCAGGTGATAGGACGTTAAACAATGTACAACCATAAATCTTAGATCTTGTTTTTTTTCTGGACAGAAAACGAAAAAAAAACTTCCATTAAAAAAAACAAAAAAACAAAAAAAAAAAAAATGTCTCGATTTCTTCTAAGTTGTCTTTATCGTCATTTTAATTTTCTACTTAATTCCTTGGTTTAAGATTCAGGGATTCCTTACATTTATAATCTGACCATCGTATCAATTAATCTAAGCTTTGTATGCATGCATGTGTTCTAATATATTTATGAATATAATTCAGGAGTTATATTCCATTTCAGAAAAGAAAAAAATTAGTGTTTTCTTGTTAATTGTATAAACGATGAAAACGTATGAAATGTGCATACATATTTTCCTTATAAGAACTTTAGGATGCCATCGTAACCAGGCCACTATGCACTGGTGTTTGGGTAATAGCCTTTAGCTTAATCTAGCTGTCAAACAAAACCTTTATCACTACCATTCTTAGTGACAAGGAAATCAGGGTTACAGCCTTATTGTGATACTGTTACCAAAATTTTTAAGAACTCCAAAGAGCTTCTGACCAATCTTCAACACTTTCTTCTAAATGCATTCTTCAAGAAAATTTGGATTTTTCAACTCTGTACGCTACCATTACCACCTCTAATTTGACAGAACGCCTTCGTTCGCTTGCCAGGAGAGTTTTCTGTTCCACGAAAGGTGAACGGCGGTATCAATGTATGGTTGTAAACTATACTGAGCGCATTTCGTCCAAATCAAAGAAAAAATACACGAAGAACGAAATCCTAAAAGTGATCGAATTTTTGGATGACAACTTCTTCATCGAGTTTGGTGATATGATCTCCCAACAGGCTATTGACATACCTGTAGGAACTAATTGTGCCCGGGTTTTGGCTTATTTGTTTTTGCTTTCATAAGTTTTGTATGTAAACATTATAATTGAAAATCAACAGGTTGTTCTACATCAGCCCTCTCGAAATTTTCCTATAACGAAACCACCATGGACAGCTTTCCACCAAGTTGTATGATAAGCGTGGTGATTTCAATTTCCTTCTCGTGAATTTCTTATTTCTGGATAACAACATTCCTGCATTCCTAACCTATGGTGTTTATATGTCGCAGTTGGTTCGATTTTCAAGGAGCTCTTCCTTTTATCACTTTTTCCTGTAAGAAGTCATAAAATGGGAAACTCGTAACACAGGGTTTCAAATGATGCATGTTGATTTAAAAATGACAGGGAAGTTTTAGTCAAAAATCGTCAAAGTAATCATAATAAAACAAGGTCTACTTATTTGTACGATATGACGCTGTACCTTGTTCGCAAATGAGAACGTGACATTACTTACTTGGATTGACCAAGATTTACGTAGCAAGTGCCGTCGATGAAGCTGGATATGCTGACATCAGAACACGTCTTGTCTTTGAGTAACAAGAAAATTATTGACCATGTCCATGGATTTTTACCTGAGATTTACCTGTGTTATTTACAACCTATCCTTATATGATGAGATAT